AAAGAGAAAGCCACACCAAGTGCTTTATGACTATTGAGGAGGGAGAAAATGTTTTAATTGAGCCTTGAGAGGAAAAGATTACTTAAAGAAAGATGAAGAACAATTATATTTCAGGGTGGGAGGTAGCACGTTTTTGGCACCTCTCTTCCCTCTGTTACCAATAAGTTCACTTCATCTTGCTTTTAGATCCAAACCAGATGATGGAGAAGAGATCAGGAGGAAACATGTTGATAGAGGTTTGCAGATCAAATATGTCAGAGATTCTGTTGCTTCTCTTTGTGACCTGGGTAATGTCATTGTAGACCTGTGTTTATGCCGTCTGCCTCTGACTTAACCTTCACTAACCAATGGCTGCTAGAGTCAAGGACAAAAGCTGCTCAGAGTCTCTGCAAATTCTATTTGGTCATAGTCCAACTTGAAAGCTGATTATTAGGAAGGCCAAGGCCACAGTTGTCAGGACTAGGAGCTTCATGGAACAACTCTGAAGTATCTTTGCAACACAAACCTAATAGTTCTATCTAATGAACTTTCTAGTCTACCTTCGTTTAAAAGTTTCAGTGTTTCTCTGCTGTATTCCACCTAGGAAATGATGAATTTTTTGTATTAGGCTGAGGGAGATATACCTATATTGTAATTCTTATGCTTTACTTGTCCTGGTGGTTATTGTTTCCAGGCATATGCCTTGCTAACTATTGTAATAAAGTATTTTCAATATTACAAAATAATAATAACAAAAGGCTTGGAGGTATGCCTAAAGGAATGTAATAGGTGTGGTATTTTTCTGCATTTTGTTATGAACGAGTATGCACACAGTTTTGCTGTCCTGTTGCATACCTGTGCCTGCAGGTTTTTGCCTCCAGGTCCCTAGCCCTAGGAAGTCTCTGTAAGGCTGTGCAAATCAAGGCAGCTTCCCTAGCAGCCAAAATTAACCTGTGGCAACCTTCTTGGAACAAGTAGCTTTTTAGGACTACAAAAGTATCTTGGAGGTGCCCTAGGTGCCAAAGATGGCTATTTTAAGGAATGTATTCTGTGTACAGATCATGGACTGCTAAGAAACTGCTACCCTTCAATTTTAAGTTCTCTTTGATTCAGAAAATTGGTTCAAAACTTTCGTGGGTTTTTTTTCCACAATGTTATTTCCTTTCTCTTCATCCATCATTTATTTGTAAAATTGAAGGTATGGAAATACTTTCAGTCTATAACATATTTCTGATTTTTTATTTGTTTGTTTGTTACAAATAAGTTCAACATTTAGAGAATGAGAGAAAGGAATAATAGGTAAATATTTTAGAAATAAAAAAAATAATAAAATGTTCAGTGATAACTACCTAAAATATCTGAAGAGAACCTACCTCTCATTAGTGTTGCAAAGCATGTCGCATTATATTATAAGATCATAACAATATCAGACAAGAATAGATCACTCAAGCTTTCTAGTATGGTATCTGTCTTTTGCATGTAACACTTGTGTAAAATTATCTTAAAAGCAAGTTTTTCTTGCTTACCATTCTATATATAAAGACTGAACACTTTACATTATGAAATTTGTCATTCATACCATTTGACAATTCCCTTTTATAAATGTTTATGAGACAATTTTTCCAATTAGTTTAAGAACTATTTTTTTCTTTTTTTTTCTTTGTCTTCTAAATGTTCATTGTAGCTAAAAAGCAATTTCCTAACACCTGTGGGAGTGATTTTTTTTGTCATTCTTCTATTACTGATAAAATAATGTTATTTCTAAGGTTTTATACATAGTATTCCTAGAAGAAAATATATTAAAAACTGTTGTGAAGCTCTACTATATAACATGTATACATGTATATGAAGAAAAATTAGACACATACATACACACATACACACACTTCACAGCTACCAATTCAAATAAGGCATGTTTTTGTTATTGTTGTTCAAAGATTACATGTGGTTTTGTATTTTTTTCCCATTTGGTATCTAAGACATCTGTAGCAATAAACAGAACAAAAAACCAAGTTTGGTGCTACTTCAAATCAGTGTCAAAATGCAAGGAATTGATGAAAAGGCTCTTTATGCCCTCAAGGCCAAAGCAGTCTTATGGATTGTGTAAATACTAGCTTCTTTAGCCCACACTAATATGAAGAACTCACTTATGG